TTCTTTGATCGGCAAAATTACGTTCTATGGGTGGAATTTGAAAGGCAAATATATAAGTGATACAAGGTAAATGTTTATTTTATTAATAATAAGGTATTGATATCTTAAAAAGATTGGATCCTTATAAAAATTGAAAAAATATTTTTGTCGGCTTATAAAAGTTATGAGAAAGTCTACATTTTACATGTAGAATTATGACTACGATAGAATAACTCATTTGTAAAGGTGTGCTTTTTTTAAAATATTGTTCAAAAAAATCTCATTTTTATATTGTCTTTAGAAAAATAAATACAGAGTTCAACGTGAAACACAATGATCTCACCTTTATACAAATGCATGCATTGTGAATCCACCGTTAAGCTCAGGGCAGATCCAAGATTGTAAATGGCTGGGGGCGGGGTTTGGGGGTAGCGCCCCCAGATTTTTTTAAAGATACTTTTAAATTATGATGACTTTCATTTAATTTTGTATCAAACAAGTTTAAAATAAGTAAAACAAAATATTTCAAAAGTAGCAAAACGTTATACGGAGTACTAAATGAATTATGTATAAGAAGTATATTTAATATCACTAGAGGATTGCAAATACTTCACTTTAAATTCTATTTAAAAATGCAACAAACTTTTTTACTAATCCATAACCAAAAATTTATGATGGTGTAAATTACCTAACCGGGTAAACAGTACTAGACCGGGTCTAGGATTGTTCACTTGATTCGGAAAGTAAGAAGGTAAAAACACACAAAATGACCGGGAGGACGGTAGGTGAAAACACTTGTAGCCCAATTGATATTATAAATATAGGAGAATGCACGGGAGCTTTTACAAGAGAGTTTAGAGAGAAGAAATCGAATCCCTTCCTTCGAAGGTTACAGCAATATTTATACTAAGTTAAAGGGGACAAAGCGTCGTGCACGTTAGTGCACGTTACTAGGATGGTGCAAGGTGATTGCCTCTGTCCTATAGTGGTCTTGTCGCCTAGTGAGGAAGATTGCTCCCTCGTCATGTAGTACTTTGGATGGATTGTTCAAGCATCTCCAGCGATCTTCTGCAGATCTTGGTCGCTACGGTCCAAGCCCTTTTGGACTCTTCTCTGCCGACACTTCACAACCTTAGAAATCATACCGGGTGACTTCTGAAGGATGAGCTTTCCGAAACGGTTGATAAACGGGGTAATAAAGTAGTTTGACCGATATACTATCCGAAGTATACCGGTCAACTTTTAAGTCAACCACGCATCCTTTTACTGACGATTCAGGTCTCCCATCTTGGAAAATTGTCCCTGACCGGTTGAGTATTTGAGCGTCTTCTTTGACCGGTTCTGGGTGGAATACACCCATCAATAAGCCCTCCACTTCTCGGCCATGTAGAATATCATGGGCGGGAAGTAAAAATCTGAAAAACGGACCCAAATTTCGAATTTTATGTTGGAGTTGGTGCCCTTATGGCCAACTGCTGTTGTAATATCTTAGATATTTTCTATCATGTAAAGGTAGATGCATTATGTTTACAAACATCTCATGCTAATGTAAACTCTTAATTGCATTCCTAGAATTATATTATAAGATGTTTATCAGAAGGAGTCTTCTGATGTTGAGACTGACATCTTGTCACTTAGTATAATTCTAAACGGTCTATAGTCGAAGCATTAACAAGAGTGGGATATCGTTAGTGCGCGTGAGACTAGTGGGAGTTAGATGTTTGACCTAGTCTCTTGGTCAATGACGGAGTGTTCGCATCTACTCTCGGGCAGATATTATCGTTAATAATAGGATGCCAGACCTGACCCACCTTAAGGACATTGCCTAGACTTTTAGTCTATGCTCTAAGTGTCCTTAATGCGACTATTGGTATAACGATCCTCAGACTTGAAGTATTACGTTCTTCGAATGTGTGAACCCGCATGCTTTGATTCATTGTCCTAAGCCGTATGAAATAAGGATGGTACACAGGCT